TTAGTATGATATTGGCTGTGGGTTCATCACAGATAATAGCTTTTATTATTTTGAGATATGTTCCTTCAATACCTAGTTTTTAACATGGATGGATATTAAATTTTATCAAAACCTTTTCTGCATATATTGAGATAATCATGTGTTTTTTGTCTTTAGTTCTGTTTATGTGACGAATCACATTTATTGATTTGTTTATGTTGAACCAAGCTTGCATCACAGGGATGAAGCCTATTTGACCACTGTGGATAGGCTTTTTGATATGCTGCTGGATTCAGCATTTTGGCGAGGATTTTTACATCAATATTCATCAAGGATATTCTGAAGTTTTCTTTTTGTTGTATCTCTGCCAGGTTATGGTATCAGAATAATGCTGGTCTTGTAGAATGGGTTAGGGTGGAGTCCCTCCTCAATTTTTTGGGATAGTTTCTGTAGAAATTGTACCAGCTCCTCTTTGTACATGTTGTAGAATTTGGCTGTGAATCCACCTTGTCCTGGGCTTTTTTTGGCTGGTATGCTATTTATTACTGCCTCAATTTCAGAACTCATTATTGGATTCTGCTTCTTCCTGGTTCAGTGTTGGAAGGATGTATGTGTCCAGGAATTTATCCATTTCTTCTAGATTTTCTAGTTTATGTACATAGAGGTGTTCATAACATTCTCTGATGATTGTTTGTATTTCTGTGGTGTTGGTGGTAATATCCTCCTTGTCATTTCTGATTGTGTTTATTTGAATCTTGTCTTTTTTCTTCTTTATTAGTCTAGCTCACTAGCTTTACTAGTCTAGCTCTCTATTTTATTAATTTTCTCAAAAAAACAGCTTCTGGGTTTGCTGATCTTTTGAATGGATCTTTGTGTGTCTCTCTCTCCTTCAGTTCACCTCTGATTTGGGTTATTTCTTGTCTTCTGCTAACTTTGGGATTTGTTTGCTCTTGGTTCTCTCATTCTTTTAGTTTGATGTTAGTTTGTTAGACTGAGATCTTTCTAACTTTTTGACATGAACATTTAGTGCTATGGTTTTCCCTCTTAACACGGCCTTGGCTGTGTCCCAGAGATCGGGTACACTGTATCGCTGTTTTCATTAGCTTCAAACAACTTCTTAATTTCTGCCTTAATTTCATTATTTACCCAAAATTCATGCAGGAGCAGGTTATTCCATTTCCTTTCTACATTTATTACATGAAATCTTTCTGTAAAAAACATATGTCCCTTCTCTCTCCGAAATACATTTGACTTCAGTGGCTAAACAATGTCCCCAAAGGCCTAATCTCTTTATCTGCTCTGCTTTCTGTGCTGTCGCTTTTCCTGTGATGGCACAAAGGCTCCCAGGCTATGTTAGTTTTTGATTCTGCAGTGGCAAAGTACTAGAAATTTGGCGGCTTTAAACGATGTGACTTTATTATCTTACATTTCTGGAAGTCAAAGTTCTGAAATGGATCTCACTGGGCTAAACTTGAGGTGTTGGCAGAGCTGTGCTCCTTCTGGAGGCTGTAAGGCAAAATCCATGACCGTGACTTTCCCAGCTTCTAGAGGTCACGACATTCCTTAATTCATGGCTTCACCTTCCATCTTCAATGTCAGCAGTGTCTGGCCAAGACCATCTCGTACAGCAATCTGTCTGGTTCTCCCGCTTCTGCTTCCCTCTCTCACATATAAGGAAGACCTTTGTAATTACACTGGGTTCACAAGGATAATCCAGGTTACTCTCTCCATCTCAAGGTCAGTTGATTAGCAAACTTAGTTTCATCCACAACCTTAATTCCTTTTTCCTGTGTAATGCATTGTAGTCACAGTTTCAGGAATTAGGATGAAGACATCTTTGGGAGACATTATCTATTACACACAGCTATAAATTTTTCATCGGTGAGCACTGGGAGAAAGAAAGAAAAAGAGAGAAAAAGACAAAGAAAACAATCCTAGCACCCTGAACAGGTGTAAAACAATAGAATTAGTTTGTACATGGGACGCTGACACATAGCACTTGGCCCTCTTTATTTCAGGGGTCAAATGAGTTTAGTTCTGAGACATTATTGAGAATGACCAGACATTCAGTGCCCAGGCTGTACAAGTAACCTTGAGCCAAAATGTAAGCTGCTATAATATCATTCTTTACGTTGAAGGCCTGCAGACTTCAATGAATTCAAGGACCAAGGAAATAAAGTATCATTCCAAACTGACCATCAGAAATGGATTTTTTAGAGAAGACCTTACTAACTCACATACCTATTAATGATTAAATACAAGGTATTCCAGGCTTCTCTCGAACCCAGAGGGAGGCGTTCAGAAACTGGCTTCTCTAGTGCTGGTCACACTGACTTCATTAGAAGCTGTGAACTCTTATTCTCCTTTGTACTAGGAACTTTCCCTTTCTTCTCTCCTAGGTTTAGTGAGCAGTGTTAGGTAACAGGGATTTTGTTTTTCTTTTATATCGTGAGTCTGTATTTTTTGTATAAAGGTCCACTTCGTCCTTCTTCCTGCTACCCGTCCTATTGAGGGCCCTTGTTCTACTCTGCTGCACAAGAGCAGCAGAATAATGGAAAATGTTCCATTATTCCAAAAGGCAACGCAAAACAAAGCACCCGGACTCACCTTCTCTGCTGCTTATGGCTCCCTCGAGTGGTATGACTCTTCAGTACTTGGGAAGAACAGGTCTTTGGAACCACCTAGACCTGATTTCAAATTCTGTTTCTGCTTTTTAACAACTTTGTGCTTTTTGAAAAGTTAAACTTCTTGGAGGTCTGCTTTCACCTGTTCATAGGTTAGAGTGGGCTTTGTCTTTGCCATGAAGGCCAGTTATCCGTCATTGTTTTCTCCTGTTCATCCATCAAACACCTACTGTGTGCTAAGTTCTTAGTTGGTATGAAGAACACAAAGGCAAACATAATCTATATAGTAGATTGCCCTCATGTTGCCTCCAACCTACAGGGGAAGACGTATTAAAAATCTAAGGACAGTGTAATAAGTTGCGTGCAATGGTCACTTAAGTAAAGGGTGATAGACAAGAATTTAAGGGAATCAAATGTCTTTAATTTTTCTAGAGTTTGCTGCAGTGGTAAATGTACATGTTTGCCTCTGCTGGATGATAAGTTCTTTGAGAGCAAGAACTCAGTCCTCTTCATTTGCATAAGTTTCTCCACCATAAAAAGCAAGAACTTAATGGAAATCTGCTAAGTCCAGGTTTTCATGGGGGACACTTCAAATGTTATTGCTAAATGAAATAAACTCAATTCATCATCATAAAAGGACTACATTTTGGGCTGTTTCATGGCAGTCACTGCTTCCCTATTTATCCAGATATGCTTAGTATCTTGTCTAGAGTCAGATGCGTAGTAGCCACTGAAAACATTATTGTTGAATAAATGAATGAACAAACTTGGAATCTAAAATACCTTTGTTTATCACTAAACTTCCCATTTAAATAAGGGAAGAAACACTCTTTATGAATGTTTGGGCTGACTGAACACTTAAAAGTCACGACTAAATATAGTATTATCCTTGTATGTCTTAAATATGCCCTGCATGAATAAGGTGTGAGATCTACAATCTCATTTCTCTATGTAAAAGCTTTTTATTTGGCTTCAAAGTCTTCAACTTCACAGCAAAATTTCATTATGTCCCAGTTGAGTTCTGTTTAATGGAATTAAATTTCACCCCTTCTAATTATCTTTTGGAACAGACAATCTTTACAGAATAATTAGTAATAGAAGAACATAATGGGTCATTGTCTTTATTACTGCAAAGAAATCCTAGATGCTGCTCTAAATCTTAAAAACAGACCTCATAAAATATAAAATGTATCGAATCCTTCCTCTTAAATTATATAACATTTAAACTTTGTCAGCGGAACTTAAAGATTAGGGGAGGTAATTATTTTCTTGCTTTACTTAAGTTATTTTATGAAACCACCTTAACAATCTCATTCAAATTAATTATGCTTACATTTTATTTTCAATATTTTCATTGGTAGAACATTTTATTATCAAACACAATTTAGCTGCTTTTTTTTTTCACCCATTTTGGGCTTTATTTTGCTTCCATGGACTTTTTTTTCTGGCCTCTAACCTAAATTTATTAGATTATATATATAGCATACAAAAGAGGGCTAAAAATGTAGCTACTCCAATATTTAAAAAAAAGATAAAATCTAATAAAAAATAATTCCACCTACCCATCTGAAAAACCATGGCACCACTGGAAAATCTTTATAAAACATAGCTCAATGAAAAAGAAATATCCAAACATGGTTGTTTTATTTTAAAAAATTAAAAAGCACCAACAGACAAAAAAAAAAATCTCCTTTTTCTTTCTACACATTCAAGCAATTAAAACATCTTTAAAAAATGGAAGATGAAAAATGTGCTTGAAAAATGAGTAAGGTCCTTCTTGGACTTGTAGTCTTTATAGTTTAATTTGTTGAGAATTTAAAATTACAGTAATTGCCCTTAAATAACTGACATTATTTGACACTACAACAACAGAGGAGTGGAAATGACTGACAAACACACAAAAGACTTTTGTTATCTTTGTTTGTCTGCCTGAATAAATCTCTACAAGTATTTCAAAGATTTAAATTTATAGCATACTTAATCGCCATTAGATGGCCAATCCTATTGGCTTTCAGCTAAGTTTCACTGACACTCAACATTTTTCGTATCAACTTCTTTCACACATCTAGTTAGTCTCAACAACTGTTTTTAAACTAAATTATTACCTCTAAATTAAACGTTTTGAAAAATACAGGCAAACCTTAGAGATATTGCGGATTTGGTTCCAGACCGTCACAATAAAGCAAATATCACAATAAAGCAAGTCACACAAATTTTGTGGTTTCCCAGTACACAAGTTATGTTTACACTATACTGTAGTGTTACGTGTGCAATAGAATTATGTCTTTAAAAATACCAATGTACATACCTAAATTTAAAAATACTTGATGGCTAAAAAATGTTAATGACCATCTGGGCCTTCAGCAATAGTGAATCTTTTGCTAGTGGAGATCTTACCTTGACATCAGCTGATGGCTGCTGACCGATCAGGGAGGTGGCTATGGAAGGCTAGGGTGGCTGTGGCAATTTCATAAAGTAAGACAACAATGAAGTTTACCAGATTAACTGTCTCTTCCTTCCACGAAAAATTTCCCTATAGCATGGGATGCTGTTTGACATTTTACCCACAGCAGAACTTCTTTGAAAATTGGACTCCTTTTAAACCCTGCTGCTGCCTTATCAACCAGTTTATGTAACATTCTAAATCCTTCATTGTCATTTCAACTGTAGCATTTTCACCAGGAGTAGATTCCATTTCAAGAAACCACTTTCTTCTGCTCATCCGTAATAAACAACTCCTCATTCATTAGATTTCTCGTAACATCACAGCAATTAAACCACATCTTCAGGCTCCATTTCTAAAGTTTTCTTGCTATTTCTACCACATCTGTGGCTAATTCCTCTACTGAAGAGCTGAACGTCTCAAAGTCATCCATGAAGGTGGGAATCAACTTCTTGCAAACTTCTGTTAGCATTGATACTTTGACCTCTGCCCACGACCCACAAATGTTCTTAACTGCACTAGAATGGGGAAAATTTTCCAGAAGGTTTTCAATTTGTTTTACCCAAATTCATCAGAGGAACCACCAGCTATGGCAGCTATCTTCTTTCAAAATGTATTTCTTAAAGAATAAGATTTGAAAGTCAAAATTACTCCTTGATCTGCATAGATGCAGAGTAAATGTTGTGTTAGCAGGTGTAAAAACAACACTAATCTCCTTGTACATTTCCATCAGAGTTCTTCTGCGACTAAGCGTGTTGTCAATGCACAGCAATATTTTAAGAAGAATTCTTTTTGTGAATAATCGGCCTCAATAGTGGGCTTTAAACACTCAATAAACCATAAACAGATGTGCTCCCATCCAGGCTCTGTTGCTCCATTTACAGAGCCCAGGCAGAGTAGATTTAGCATCATTCTTAAGGGCCTTAGGATGTTTAGAATGGTAAATGAGCATTGGCTTTAACTGAAAGTCCCCAGCTGCCTTGGCTCCCAATAAGAGTCAGCCTATTGCTTTAAAGCTTTTAAGCCAGGCATTGACTTCTCCTCTCTAGCTGTGAAAGCCCCAGATGGCATCTTCTTCCCATAGAAGGCTGTTTCATCTACCCTGGAAACCTGTTGTGTAGAGTAGCCACCTTCATCCGTGATCTTAGCTGGATCTTCTGGAGAACCTGCTGCAGCTTCTCCATCAGCACTTACTGCTTCACCCTGCACTGTTATGTTATAGACGTAACGCTTTTCCTTAAACCTCATGAACAAACCTCTACAGCTTCCTCACCTCTCCCAGATTTCGCACAATTGAAGACAGTTAAGGCCTTGCACTGGATTAGGCTTTGGCTTACGGGAGTTTTGTGGCTGGTTTGATCTTCTATTCAGATCATGAAGTCTTTCTTCATATCAGCAATAAGGCTGTTTTGCTTTCTTATCATTTGTGTGTTCACTGGAGTAGTACTTTTAACTTCCTTCAAGGACTTTTCCTTTACATTCACAGCTTAGTTAACTGTTTGGTGCAAGTCTTAGCTTTTGGCCTGTCTCAGCTTTCAACCTGCCTTCCTCACTAAGCTTCATCATTTCCCGCTTGTGATTTAAAATGAGAGATATGTGACTCTTTCTTTTACATGAACACTTCGAGACCACTGTAGGGTCATTCATGGGCCTAATGTCAATATTGTGGTGTCTCAGGGAATAGGGAGGCCGAGGGAGAGGGAGAGAGACAGACAGAGGAATGGCCAGGAGCAGTCGGAGCACACACAACATTCATCGATTAAGATGATCATCTTACATGGGTGCAATTCATCGCACCCTGATAGTAACATTTGTTCTTATAAGAGTAATATCAAGAGCACTGATCACAGATCAGCACACTAGATAAAATAACAATAATACAGTTTGAAGTTTTGTGAGAACTGTTCACATGTGACACAGAGACATGAAGTAGGCACTTGCTGCTGGAAAAAAAAATGGTGCCACAAACTTTTAATCTGTAAAAAACACATCTGCTAAGTGCAATGTTGTGAAGTGTGATAAAACGAGGTATGACCATCTATAGAATTTAATAGTATTAATTGAGTTAAGTAGAGCCTTTTTTATCTCATTCTATACTGAGAATTGACTTGTTGAGGGAGGAGTGTTGAAATGGTGATTTTGAAAAATATAATTGACCGTCTACTCTTCGTGTAAGTTAGTTAATATTTGGTTTAATGATTTTCTCAGAAAATCAAGTGCATTTAAGTAATCCATTCCCAAACCATTTATTGTGATTTAGGTGTCAAGTAGAAGTCACTTAAAGAACATGGAGTCTGCCATGCAATGTAAAATTCCTGCAAAGAATACAGAATTCGAATGACACCAATGGAATATAGTTTTAGTTTTTCGTTATTTTAAGTATTTAGTTCTTGTCTTTCCCTACTGCTAAATAAGACATAATCTACAAAGAAACCTAAATTTCTTCTTGAAGCGATCATTTGATTTCCTAGTGAAAATAAACACTTAGAACAATTAAATTGCAATGTTCCCTTAATTGGCAACACGTTTGACATTTTAAAAAAATGTTCCCTCGTAAATTCTCTTAGCATTTACCTGGCTTATAAAAATTCATCTCCTTTTTATGTTTTAACTTCAATGTCAAGTTCCATCCATACCAAACAAGAGGCATAAGTGCTTCTATGTGCATTTTGATATAGTGACCTTCTGACTGGTCGTAAAGTAAGGAAATTCTGCATATGACATAAATAAGGGTCTTTTGGGGTGTGAGTACTCATAAACTAGCAGATGTATTAGGATTCTATTATGTTAGGGCACAGGCATGAGTGGGGCAGAGGGGGCTTTAAGTGTACTACTGCATGATCCATCTCAGAAGAAGGATTATCTGGTTTTCTTTTTGGATATGCTCCTCTTTGTCCATGATTACAGCCTATTTCTTCAGGAAATTAGAAGATGCTAGCTTGTTTATTATCAGAAAACAAGTTGATTTTACTGTTTGCGTATTTCTATAGAGGCTAAGTACACACAATGAGGACAACTCAATTTTTCCCTTAGCTCTCTTCTAGTGCCTTTATGAAGTCAATGAAAGCACACTCTACCTATTCGCAGTTCTAAGGACTTTTCTGCTACAGCTGTTTGTTCCACAGTAGCTATTTACACAAACTGCCTAATTAACCAGCAGAAGTTCTGATTCATTTCTCTGGCCAAATAAGGTAATTTCCTTCCTTCATTCTCTTCTGGCACAGGTGAAATGCCCCATAGCTTTAGATCTGACATTGTCATTGCAATGATGCCCTTTCCCTTCCTCTCTTTCCAAATGCTGAAACCTGGGAATATATTTTTCATGAGAGCTAATGAAGGTTTCCCCCAGTTTCAGAGGAAACACGTCTCTTTTCAGATATAACTTCTTCTAAATGTGAAATCACTGAGATTCCTCGTTTTCAATTCAACTGTTGCAACCCATCCTTTGAACTGAGAATGTTCTGAGAATCTTGATTATGCACGATGAATTCGAAATTATGGGATTTGTCTCAGAGACCAGGAAACATCACCTTAATCCATAGTTACTCTAATATTCGAGCCAGTATTTAAAGAGAGGCAATTGGCAGTTGGCACAAGGTGGAAACTATTTTGGCAACACAGGGGTTAAATATTAATCGACCTATTAGTTCTCAATATTCAGTTATTTAATCTCAGTCATACTCCATGACAAGCAGATGAGTCTGATGACAATGTCTTCCCCCAGTTTCCAGAACTGTCCTTCCTGTGACCTTAGCTGCTCTTAAGCTGATAGGATCAGCAAACTTCCTGCAGCCTACTGGGAGAGTGGTGATTTTCAAAGAGTTGTTCAGGAAAACAAGAAAAGCAAATGTTCCTAATCTTTGGGGCAGAAGGAGGCATAGGGAGAAATTTTTAAATGCAGCAAGGAATTATTTCCCTGTTGATTTTATTTTGACAGGAAAGCAGAATATATCCTTACATTGTTTTTCTCCTTAAAGATTTATTTAAGGTAAATCTGTGTTCAACACTGGGCTTAGCAAAAGAGGGAAGATATTGGTCTTGTGAGTGGCAAATACCAAAATATCATCTGAGGAATTATAAATTGATCAGTTACATATCAAACTAATCTAGCATTTAAATTTAGACTCAGTATGGCCAATTATTTAGCGACAGTTATGACAGATATTCTTAATTTTATTATTAGTGTATGAAAATGTGTATTAGTGACAGAAGAGATCTACCAGTTTCATTCAGGTGGTCTCCAGCGACAACATTAATTTGGAAAATGATGTGTAAATGCACAGTTTTACAGCATGTTTGCTTATAGAATCTCTATTCACTTGTATTCTATTCAGTGCAGGTTACATGGTTTGGATCTCTTTGTTAGTGACGGCTTGACTTTGGGTTGAGGTTATTTGAGAGAGAACTTTTTACCAGCCTATAGCAGGTATGAGTAGCTTTACTTTGTCCTTATCAGACTTAGGAGAAATAAAATAAACTTTCTTCTGTGGTTACTGGAGCAAAGATTGATCTATAGTCATTAATTATCTTCATGTTATTATAAATTCTTAGGGCACAGACAGAAACATTTATTCACAGTTTACTTGGTACCAGAGCTAAAGTAATTTGATTATTCTTTTTTGGTTTAAAACATTTCTTAAATGACCAAGTGAAAGAAAAAAAAAGCAATTAGTACTTATTTTTTGCATTACACAATATTAGGTGAGTGATATGCTAAGACTTTTGTACATATACATTTACAAAGACATTCATGTGTAATAATTTCCAATTTTAAATAAAAGAATATTTAGCAACAAAATGTTCTGTTGGGAGACACACTTTAATTTTTTCCCAAATCTCATGTTCATTATTGTCCCCTACTGTTACCAAATAAATTACATTGTTAGAGCAATACAGTAAGAAACACAACATATCTTTGTTACTGAAAACACTTAACAGTCAATTTGAATTTCATAAAACATTTTATGGAAAACGTTGAAGGAAAAGGCACAAAGAAACAACACAAATGAAATTTAAATTTAATGAATATTCTGTTGTTGCCTGCCAGAGGAAATAAAGATTTTCATATTTATTTTCTTTTTTAAGTATACCTGGTAACTGTGTAGCTTTCCCTGCTCACTTCTATTTGGTTCTCTTA